GCTGATCTGATGGCAGGAGCCAGGTACTTATCCTGGTCTCCCATGGGGTGCAGGGCCCAAGGACTTGGGCCATCCTCCACTGCACTCCCTGGCCACAGCAGAGAGCTGGTCTGGAAGAGGGGCAACCGGGACAGAATCCGGCGCCCTGACCGGGACTAGAACCCGGTGTGCCAGCGCCGCAAGGCGGAGGATTAGCCCAGTGAGCTGCGGCGCGGGCCACTTTAAAGCTCTTAATGTGTATTGGCAAATTTCCATCCATCTATGCCTATTTATAAGAGTACCTGCTTCACTTTGCTCTCACCAACGCTGGATGCTGTAACAAATAGATAAACAAAACCACTTTGTCATTTACATTTTTCCAAAAATAGGGACTTATATTAATTTGCATTTCTTGAATTGAGTCAGTTAAATATTTTACATGTACTTTAGCTCAATTTTATTTCTTCCCACAAAAATTACATTCTCCCCTTGCGCATTTTTATATAGTTGTACTGCTTTGAAAGAAATCGTCACAAAATAAAGATCTTGATGTTGTACCAAAAAAACAAAAAACCACTTGAAATTTTTGGAACTAGCCGTCATGTTGTGACCAGCCATCCTAGTGTGCTTCGGACAGGGTGGGGTTCCCAGGCCATGGGACTTTTAGTGCCAGAAAGAGGAAAGTTGGGAAAGTAGTGTTGGATTAGTCACCCTGAGGAAACTTTCCAGATTAAAGGAGACTAAATGCAACTTCAGGTAAATGCAAGATGTAATCCTGCAGCAGGGAACAAAAATTCATTATCACTGTAATACACAGAGATAACTAATGAAACATATATGTCTGCAGATTCAAAAATAGTACTGTATAAATATTAATTTCCTGGGGCTGGCATGGTACAGTGGATTATGCCATCACTTTCCACAGTGGCACCCCATATGGGAGTGCCAGTCCTAGGTCTTTTTGCTGTATTTCCAATCCAACCTCCTGCTGATGTGCTTGGGAAGGCAGAAAATGGTCCAAATACTCGATCCCTGACACCCATGTAGGAGACTTGTGTGGAATTCCTGGCTTCAGCCATTTGGGGAGTGAAACATGGGTGACAAATGATCCTATTCTCTGTTCTCCCTCTCTCTGTGTGCTCTGCCTTTCAAATAAATAAACAATATATAAAAATTAATATCCTGATACTAATACTTGAACTGTGGCTATGGAAGAGAAACTTCTTCATTTTTTAAGAAATACACGTGGAAGGGATATATTGAAAGGATATAATGTTGGCAATTTGCTCTCAAACAATTGGGGGAGAGAAAGAGGGAAAATATGATGAGGTCAACATGGTAAAATGTTAATGTTTGCTGAATATAGGGGTAAAAACATGGAAATTCTTCCTACTATGCTTCTCAACTTTTTATAAGTTTGAAATTATTTCAACATAAGGATTTTATAAAAACATAGTAACTGTCCATCATACACTATATTTTTATTTTATTTATTTTTTTATTTTGACAGGTAGAGAGTTAGACAGTGAGAGAGAGTGACAGAGAGAAAGGTCTTCCCTCCATTGGTTCACCACCCAAATGGCCGCTACATGCTTCCTCCTGGTCTTCCACGTGGGCGCAGGGCCCAAGCACCTGGGCCATCCTCCACTGCCTTCCCAGGCCACAGCAGAGAGCTGGACTGGAAGAGGAGCAACAGGGACTAGAACTCAGCGCCCATATGGTATGCCGGCGCCGCAGGTGGAGGATTAACCTAGAGAGCCACGGGGCCGGCCCCCATCATACACTTTAAGTATTTCCAATTTGTCATTTGTCTCTTCATTTTATCTTTCATTCAACTGTGTTGTGTACAACTTTTATTTGTTTCTTTATTTTACCATTTGGAAATTTAAAACTGTACTTCTTTACGGTTTGCCTTTCTGAGAGCTTGTCCATCTTTGAGAGCAGGCTTGAGTCTGTCTGACAACTTTTGTCTCTGCTTCTTGGCACAGTGTCTGGAACCTGTTGTTTTTCCATACACGTTTGATAATTACAGTAGCAAATACGAATGATCTAGGTTTTTTGTTTGTTTGTTTTGTTTTGCCCTTCCCCTTAAGGCTGTTTCAGCACTATTTGTAGAATAGGTCTTTCTTTGCACAGAGTTTTGAAATGCCATCCTCATCATCAACTAAATCTTCTGTCCTCATAAAGATCTGTGTCAGAGCTTTGTGCTCTGTTCTATTTCAGTGGACCGAAGCCTTTTTCTTTTGAAAACAAGGAAGGATGGAGAGACCGAGGGAGAGAAGGGAAGGGGTTATTGAGAGCATGGACTTCATCCACAACCAGTTTAAATCATGATTGCCAGTTTTGTTATCTTGGGCAATTAACCATTTTCTGCCTTAATTTTCTTATCTGTATAATGAAGATAATAAGTAGTATCTACTTAATAGGCTTATTAAGAGCATAAAGACAGTTTACCTATATAAACATATACATATGTATGTAAGTAACAGAAAATTTTGATACATAATAAGCATTATGAAGTATTTACTATTTTGTTCCTTGAACTCCTGTACTATTATTTAATAATACTATTTGCTTCCTGTTTTATCGCCTTTAGTCCTGCCACATTTCTGCCGCTCAATTTTTGTGACCCAAGTTTACATCCTTGCCCTTTGTTTTCTGCTTCAATAGCCTCTTATTTGAAAAAGACTTCATTGCCAAGGCTTCAAATACCACTTTACGCAGACAATGAAGAAACCTAAAGCTCTAGTTCTGGCCTTTTACCTGAACTCTAGCATCTACTTCTAACAACTCTGGATGGTTCCAGCAGAGTGACTGACAAGATCTCAAACATAGTATGTCCCCATTTGAATTCTTTGTCTTCCCCTTTGATGTTCGCCAATATCCCAAATTCTTTTTCATTCAGGTTTGCAATTTTATCTATGTCTCCTCTGTTATCAATTTAATCAGATGTCATATCTTCTTGACTCATTTTAATGATTCTCTTATCTTGCTTTCCTAAAAATTTTCCACCACGGTTCAAAATACTAACACATTTGACAGGTACACCTAATTTATCCTCTTTCAGTCTTGGCATCTGATGCTGACTAATCTTAAAATGGGAATTTGGAACATAAGCATGTACCACTTTGAAAGTCTTTAATTAGTTGCCTATTGCCTACAGGAGTAATCTTTTGTAGAATGTGAACTCCAAGAAGAGAATGTTCTTGCCCAAAATAAATAATACATTGCCTGAATACAATCATGAGACTACATCACACAAATCCCAATGGCAGGGTCCTTGGGAAAATGATTTCCTGCTTGTGCCCTTCAGAAGTTTCACAAGGTTATGAAATATAGGAGACAAATTGCTACAGATAGGAGGAGACTAAGGAGACAACAATTTATTTAGTCACTCTGTTAATTAATTAACTAAACACAGTGAGGGATCCTGGCCCAGGCAAAGGACCTTCATGGAAATATTGACAAAATTTTAATAAGATGTATAGATTATTCATATTGTATAGTATTAGCTGCCTGGATTAGATCATTGTTATTTGGTTGTATAAGATGGTAACATTAAGAGAAGCCAGGGGAAGGATATACAGGAAGTTTATACTACTTTTACAATTTTTTATATTTCAAACTGAAAAGTTGGAAAATTTTTGAGGAAGGAGAAAGATGAACTAAATTATGTATTCTTGGAGTAAAAACATTGCCGAGCTCGAGAGTCACACCAATCATTTCCAATCATCAGTAATGGTCACTGGCCCTTCATAGATCCTGCCTGAGTGATGTGAGATCCTTTTTGCCTCGTGGGGAAGGGTCATTTCATTGGCGGTGCGTGGCACAAAGAACAGGCAAGAAAATCCTCAAGGAAATGATACTCAGTGATAGACAGCAGTTATTCATCCGACAGACATGGCAGGTAGGTGCTGAACATACGTCAATAAGCAAGAAGATAACTGACCTCTTGGTGTTTCTGGTCTTATTGATAAAAAATTAAATCGGAACTCTTTAAGTTTTGTTTTGTTGTGCTTTTTTGCAAAAAATCAGAAGGTGGGCTTCTTGGTATGGTAAGGCAGGAGTTGGAGTGGAGGTGGGAATGGGGATTTGCCTCGAAAACGAAATTCACTACCAGAATTGGAGAAGGTGCTCCAGGGGTAAGGTTGCAGTAGTATGATAGCTTGTTCTCAACGCGCATAACGGTGGTTTGGTGCGTCGTGAATGCATGCTTGTAAGAGGGGAAAGGGCAGAAGGCAAAAAGGTGGGTCACAGGAGAACATCCGTAGACGTGGACAGTGGTAAGGCGAAGACGCTAAAGAGTGAAGAGGAGGCAAGGTAGAAAGTAGAGCCCTCCTTAAGTGAATGACACGACTTGGGCCTCGGGCTGAGCTGCAAGGTAAGTGAGAGGATTTATTGGAGCCGGCTGAAGGACCCCACGAAGCTAACATGATATAAGAAGGTGTAGGTGACAGGCTAGAGAAAACAACTGGGGGTGGGAGACACGCAAGAGGAGCCCCGCGGACTGGGAGACACGCAAGAGGAGCCCCGCGGACTGGAAACCCCTGGGAAGGGCGCTGCGAAGAAGGAAGGCTGCGAGTCACCTAGAAGCGGGAAGGGGGAGGCCCGCGGAGGGTGACCGGGCGGCGGCGTGCGCACCCAGGATGCAGCCAGCCCCGTCCAAGGCTGCGCGCCGGGCAGACGGGGGCACGGGCCGGCGCTGGGTGGCGGAAGGTTGCGGGGCGAAGTGGGGGAGGTGTACACTGTGTGTTTGGTGATGTCATTGCGAGTCAGGGAGCGGTGAAATTTAACACCGGCAGGGTTTGCCGGGCTCCTCTTCTTCCTGACGAAGCAGCCGGCGGCAGTCCACGCCGAGCGCCTGCCGTTGCCACCGGCCCCTCGCACCGACTTGATTTCTGAAGTGGGTGTGTGTGCTTGTTTGACAAACGTCCGAGCGCGGGCAGTTTCCAAGGACTTCCTCCCCACCCCCTCATCTCCTTCCCTCCCCCACCCCTTTCTCCTCCCAGGCCCAAAGCAGAGGACTCCACTGGAGTCACAGAGTCGCCTTTGAACCGCAAGTGAACTCGAGGGCTGCAGTCGCAGCCGAGCTCCCGCGGCCGCCGGCGCCCCGCTGCCTCCTCGCGCGACACAACCCCAGGCTCCTCTCCTGCCGAGCCAGGGTGCCCAAAGTCTATCTGTCCTTCCCTTCGGGTGCTGTTTCCCACCCCAGCCTCATCTCCTCCCCTGCTTTTATTAATTTTTTCCTGTTGCAAGTTTGGAGCCTGATTTTCATGTGACTTTCTCCCCCCCCCCTTTTTTTTCATGGACAGTACCTGCACCCTTAGCAGTTCGGAGCTGGCTTCTGTTTTCCGTTAGCGCTTTGCTGCACGGACAAATGCATACAAATGCATTTAGGCGCCCACAGGACAAGGCGTGGAAAGGTCTTCTCCC